TTAATGCAATTCCCATCAAAATTCAATGACATTCATTAAAGAGATTGAAAAATCTACTGTGAAATTTATATGGAAACACAAGAGGCCACGAATAGCCAAGGCAATACTCAGTCAAAGAACAATGCAGGAGGTATCACAATACCTGACTTCAAACTATATTACAAAGCAATAAAATAAAAACAGCATGGTACTGGCACAAAAAACAGACATGAAGACCAGTGGAACAGAATAGAGGACCAGATATGAAGCCACACAACTATAACAACTTGTCTTTGACAAAGGAAAAAATATACGATGGAGAAATAGCAGCAACAAAAACTGCTGGGAAAACTGGTTAGCAGTCTGCAAAAAAACTGAAACTAGATCCATGTATATCACCCTATACCAAGATTAACTCAAAATGGATCAAGGATCTTAATATCAGACAAACTCTTAAGTTGATACAAGAAAGAGTAGGAAATACTCGGAGTTAGTAGGTATAGGTAAGAACTTTCTCAATGAAACCCCAGCAGCACAGCAACTAAGAGATAGCATAGATAAATGGGACCTCATAAAACTAAAAAGCTTCTGTTCATCAAAAGAAATGGTCTCTAAACTGAAGAGAACACCACAGAGTGGGAGAAAATATTTGCCAACTATACATCAGACAAAGGACTGATAACCAGAATATACAGGGAACTTAAAAAACTAAATTCTCCCAAAACTAATGAACCAATAAAGAAATGGGCAAGTGAACTAAACAGAACTTTCTCAAAAGAAGAAATTCAAATGGCCAAAAACACATGAAAAAATGCTCACCATCTCTAGCAATAAAGGAAATGCAAAATTAAAACCACACTAAGATTCCACCTCACCCCTGTTAGAATAAGCCATCATTAAGCAAACCACCATCAACAGGTTGTTGAGCTAAGGATGCGGAGAAAAGGAAAACCTTTTACACTGCTGTGGGAAATGCCAACTAGTCAAACCCACTCTGGAATAAAATTGGAGGCTTAACTTAAAAAGCTAAACATCTGATCTACCTTATGATCTCAGAATACACTCTTGTATATAGCCCAAAGACTGTGACACAGGTTACCTCCGAGGCACTTGTAGCACCATGTTTAATGGGCAGCAACTTTCATTTTTTTTCTTACTTATTATATCATATGACTGGATTACCACAGGCATATGGCTTCATTTACCCCCACCCCCCCCCTCCACCCCTCCTTCCACCCACTCCAACCCCCTTCTCTCTCCCCCTCAATACCCAGCAGAAACTATTTTGCCTTTATTATCTAAAATTTGTTGTACGAGAGAGTATAAAGCAATAATAGGAAGGTAACAAGGGTTTTTGCTGGTTGAGATAAAGGATAGCTATTACACAGGGCAATTGACTGGCACATTGATTTTCCTGTGCGTGGGTGTTTCCCTCTAGGTTAATTCTTCTGAACTAACCTTTTCTCTAAGTTCCTGGTCCCCTTTTCCTAATTGGGCCTCAGTTCTTTTAAGGTATCCTGCTTTAAGTTTCTCTGGCGTTAAAGGGCAAACAAACTGCTAACCGCTAATTTTTTTAGGTCGTCTTACGCTCTCCTCCAACCCTCCCTTGTGTGCTCTCACTTTTATATGTGCTCATAGTCCAATCCTCGTCTTGTTTGTGTATTGCCCCTTGATACTAATGGTGCACATATAGAGGGAGAACATACGATTTTTTGGTCTTTTTGGGCCAGGCTAACGTCACTCAGAATAGATCGTTCTCCAATTCCATCCATTTACCTGCGAATGCTAACATTTCGTTCTTCTTTCATCGGCTGACATAGAAATCCATGGTGTTGTATAGATAACCACCTTTTCTTAAATCCCTTCGCTCAGTGCTGGGGATCTTGGCTGTTTCCATAACTTGGCTATTGTGAATAGTGCCGCAATAAACTCAGGGTGTGGCCCGGTGGCCTCTTTGGAGTAACATGATCTTGTTGGGTATATCCCAGAGATGGTATTACTGGATCAAATGGTAAGATCAATGTCTAGCTTTTTAAGTAGCCTCCAATTTTTTTTCAGAGTGGTTGTACTAGTCACATTCCACCAAACAGTGTAAGAGGGTTCCTTTTTCCCCACATCCTCGCCAACCCCTGTTGTGTTGGTGGGTTGCTGATGATGGCTATTCTAACAGGGTGAGGTCTGGAATCTCTAGTGGTTTTAATTTGCATTTCCTTTTACTTGCTAGAGATGGTGAGCATTTTTCATGTGTTTTTCTGGCCATTTTGAATTTCTTCTTTTGAGAAAGTTCTGTTTATTCACTTGCCCATTATTGGTTCTTAGTTTTGGGGAGAATTTAGTTTTTTTAATTCCCTATAATTCTGGTTATCAGTCCTTTGTCTGATGTGTAGCTTGGCAAATATTTTTTCTCCACTCTGTGGGTGTTTCTTTCAGTTTAGAGGACCATTACTCTTTGTGATGAACAGAAGCTTTTAGCTTTATGAGGTCTTCATTTATATCGTTATCAGCACTATTCATAATAGCCAAGTTATGGAAACACTAAGATGCCCCCACGTACTGACGAATGGATTAAGAAAAATGTGGTATCTATAGCACAATGGAATTTTATGCAGCCCATGAAGAAGAATGAAATGTTTCATTCACTGGTAAATGGATGGAATTGGTAGAACATTCATTCTGGAGTGAGGTTAGCCTGGCCCCAAAAGACAAAAATCAAATATGTATTCTCCGCTCATATGTGGACATTAGGATCAAAGGGCAAAAACACAGGGGGATTGGACAGAGCACTGATAAAAGCGAGAGCACACAGGGAGGGGTGAGGATAGGTAAGACACACGAAAAAATTACATTTGGTGCCCTCAATGCAGAGAAACTAAAGCAAGACACTTGAAAAGCAGTATGCCAAAAGGAGAAGGGGACCAGGAACTAAGAAGAAAGTTAGTCAAAAAAAGAATTAACCCTAAGAAGGTCACAACACCTTCTAGACAGGGGGGAGAAATAACATATGATAATAAAAACAATAAAAATAAAATAAAAAAAAACCCGCAATAACTAAAAAAATAATAATAAAATAAAAATATCTCTCCATGTATCTTGCAATGCGTTTCATTCTTTCAAATTCCACAGATGTTATTTTAATTTTTGTGAATCAATGTTTTGGTTAATTCCATAAATTTAATTAACGTCATGTGTTCTTCAATGCTTGTTCCTATCTTTAATCTGTTGTCTTTAATGATTATTTTTTAGAATTGGTATATAGCTGTAAATTAAGTTTATCCATCTAATGGTTTAACTATCAACAACTTTCTTTGAAATGACTACTACTTTCACTTTAATGTTCAAAATCATATTTTTCTCTGTGAGACGTAATTTTATGGCCTACGATTTTCTCTTGGCATAATGAAAGATATTCCTTCTGAATTCTGGCTGTTATTCTCTGTTACTCCTGCCAGTCAGATTCAAGTATAAATGTGGCTTTGATGTCAATCAGTCTCTTCTTCCCCTAGCTATGCTAAGATTTCTCCTTCTTTCCTGCACAGACGGTACAGTGGCGTGTTTTATCTTTAAAAATTACCCATTGCTTCGGATACATTGAGATTTTGAATTATAGAATGGTCATCTTCTATCACACTTCTTAAGAGTGATTTCTTGCCATCTCTCGTCATATTAAATAATTGCTCTCATCCCATTTCTCTGTCATGTTAGATCTTCAGTGTAACATTTTTCTCAGCTAATCTCTGGTCTTTTAAACATTTCGTTGTTTTCCATTTCTTTGTTTCTTCTTGGATATATTAAATAAGAAGTTTTTGCTGTTTTTCCAACTTAACTACTTTGTCCTATAGAGGTCTTTGGTTTCTTTTTTCAATCTGCTTTAATTTCATGCCTCTTGTTATTTCTTGAAAGCTATAAATTGCGTGGTGCTTTTTTTTTTCACCTTTCTAGTATCTAAAGACTAAAGCTTTTTAAGATCTTACTCTGTTTTGATGGCTCATATTTTGTCTTGTTTATTGTTGTTTTAAATGACTTTTCACCTCTGAATTGACAATTTTTCTTTGGACTCTTTGAGTTCAGAGTTGGTCTTTCAAGAAAAATTTGAACATTTGGACCATTCAATGTCTAAATGTGGGAACATCTGAACTAAATTTTCAAACTTGATTTCTTTTTAGGCTTCCCAGATTTACTGTAAAACTTAGGAGGGCATAATATGTGTGTATCTGTCTATATATCTATCAATCTTATCTATCTATCTATCTATCATCTATCTATCTATCTATCTATCTATCTATCTATCTATCTACCTACCTACATATCTATCTAACTTATCTAAAAGCTAGTTCCTTTGGTCATAAAAGTCTCAGAGAATTTTTTCCTTTATCATTAATTAGCAGGGTTTCTGAAGATGGTTTTTCATTGTAAGCCCTCTTAACGGGGGCCCAACTCAACCCATACCGAGAGAGTGGTCCTTTGGCGGGACTCACGTTTTAAAGAGGTGATCTCTATTCAGACTTCTCACTTTGGAAGGCCTTCATTATGCTTTCTAACTCCAAGTCTTCTAGAGACTGAAACCACGAGTCAACTTCTTCAGGGTTCAGAAAACACCCTCAAGGAGAAAATATGGCTATGGTATTTTGTCATTTTTTATTTTATTTAAACTTTTTATCAGTGCAAATTAATTGTAAAAGTAGTGTGTTCCATTACTTTCTGTTTATCGCATGAATATCCCTTTGGTGACATTCAACTCTGTTTTCTTTCTCATCCTCCCCTCCTTTCCCTCTTCTACTAGTAATTTTTTTAACATACCACCAAGTATTCTTTTTCTTA